TTCTCTTGAGATTTCACCAAGACGTGTAATAAGGAATCTTTCGTGTCCTGGCAGGGTCGCCAATTTGTAACAAGACGAATTGGAAGAATCTCAACGCTTTTTAATGTCACGAAACCACGCTCACCACTAAACACTCTCAYGGCCAAAAAAAACTCTCACCCCCTYCCTCGCAAAGCATCATGGTTATAAAGGAAGCCCAAAAAGCATTATTACAGAATGAACGCTGTTTATATAATATAGAACAAGATAACAGAGCTAATCATTTTCAGCTGATTTTTGCATAATTAGGAAGAACTTAGTAGGTCTTATTGTTTATCGTTTATGAGTCTTAATTGCATTGTGTTGGATACAATAGTCATCAAATTTTCATTAGTCCTTTGAATKCATTGACGGTAGCGTGATATTCTCGAGAGCCTAACAGGAATAACGTAGCCATTGCGTTTCTCAAAAGTAAATTTTTTTAGGTCTTGCTTGCTTGCTTGGTTGCTTGAGTTTTTGAGTTAAAAATTCAAAATCCCCGAGCTCTATAAATTGGATTGGTAAACAAAAGACTTGTCCAAACTTGTCAAACAATAAACTCATGGCGTCAATTGGTCGTCATGGCATCTTCACAATACCTACACGTCTTTTCATGGTAATAAGTAATAAAAATAATTAAATCCACCGCATATGAAACACGTAATGCGTGACGTATTAGAGCATAATTAAATCCACCGCAAATATACTCGAATCCACCAAAATTAGTAAATCCACCGCAAAAATCCGGCCCGTGCCATGCGACCTATACTACTGTGGTGGGTGAACGGATTCGAGGATACATGGTGTATTGTGTGGGTTACCTGTGTCGTTAGTGCCGAATCTCTTTGATCAATCTCGTCCAAGATGGCGGTCAAAACAAAGAGCTTGTCATTGATCAAGAAGAGAACTGAAAGGATATACCTGTTACGTCATACTTAAGGTAAAAAAGCTAATTGATTATCGTTTCTTAGTCTCGTAACCTATATTTTACCTGAACTTTTTTTCATCTTGACACGTAGTCGTCTAGTCAGCAGCTAATAAACCTCAAGATATTTTCACAAAGATCTATTGATTATTAAGATTGTATTGATAAGCAACGATGAGAATGACCAGCCGAAATATCATTATAATACTTTCGATTTTTTCTTTCTTTATGCTGACATCGTATTGGATCCTTAGTGAGATTATGTTCAATGAAAACAACGAGTTGTTTTACAGAAAGTTCAATACGAGGAGGAAGAACTTGGCTATTGATAATGATGTTTCTCTAGAGAATGACATTCGTTCAAGATTACAGCAAGCTTTCCGAGGATCTGTCGTGATAGCTGCTAAAGAGAACAACGAGAGCACTTTCTCGACACAACTTGCTTGTGTTTCAGAATTCTTTGTGGTAGAATGCGACAATGCCGGACTAGCTGCTATGTTGTTGATGACTTTGGATCATTTAAGCACTTGCAAGCATATTGGAGCTGTTCCAACCGTATTTTGGCGTAACTGTGGCACTGTTTGTCCATCAAATGCGACAGTTAATTCTTGGAATTGGTTTTTTGAGCCTTTGAATCCGAATATAGAAGAAAAAGCAAAGAAAGTCTTATGCTTTGGGAACTATTTTGGACTAAGAATATTGTCTTTGAAACAAGAAAAAAAAAGAACGACAACAAACCTCACACATCTCCCTGAATTGTTAAACCTAAGTTTTAAGTCACGCAATACACCTGGTTTCAATAAGCTTGACTTGATCACTCGTGAAATACGGCTCTGGGCCAATACATTGCTAAAACAATATGTGAAGATAAACCCTRAAATCCAAGAGATCGTTGACAAGTTCTATGATAAACATTTATTTGGTCACACTGTTCTTGCTGTTCATGTCAGAGGAACCGACCATGGCTCAGAAACAGAAGATGGGAAGTTACCCTCATTGACTTCATGGATTCAGAATGCTAAACACATCTTGCAAAGCTTGCCGACACCAAATAAGATATTCATTGCCAGTGATAATAATGAGAGTATAAAGAAGTTTGTCAATGAATTTGGTAAAAAGGTAGAGCTTATCTTGAATATAATTTGGCTTTTTATTTGCAATAGCTGCAAGATCAATAGCTTTTTGGACTAAGGGAATGTTATGGGAGGAGGAGGAGGGGGTTCACAGGTGCTTAACATTTAAACCAATCCATTCCTGTTGGAAATTCATTTGCCTATGGTAAGTAAAGAGTGGGAAACTTTGGCTTTTGAAAAATGGTACATGCATCAATCAGAAAAACCTAATAGAAGACTGAGTTTTCTGGACCTTTCCAATCAGAATGAAACATACTGTTCGTTTTCAAACCAGGATTTCCTGTTTTTCCTGGTAAATGGTAATCATCCCAGTACTGTTTTGATTCAAACATTTTCATGTTTTCCAGGTTGTATTTACAAAGGCATTACGAGCAATCAAATATGATGGTGGGGCAGTCCATACTTCCAAGTATGACCCATATAAACTGGGAGCAGAAGTTCTGATTGATATCCTCTTGATGGCAAGGGCAGATCACTTTTTACATGCTGAATCAAGTGTGGCAGCATTAGTTAGTTACTTCAACCCTGAAATTCATACCCACTTCCTGGAAAGCAAGGAAGAGACTAACAATAAGGTAAGTGGAGTAGCTAGGCTTAGCATTGCATTGCTGCTCAGTACCTTATGAATGAATGAATGAATAAAACCTTTATTTAAAAATAAATAAAGCCAGGGTAGTCCCTTCAGAACTAATAAAAAGCTCTGCTATCAATGGGAACCCCAGAGGTTTAGCATAAAGTCAAACTGTGACTTGATGCTAAACTTCATTATCTTATGAAGTTAAGTATTATTTGTGTCACCATACAATGTGATTAAAATATGTTTCACATTGTTTAGTATTACTGCAGAAAATATAGACAGTGTATTACTGGAAAGCATCCATATCTTCTGCAAAGGGGGATATTAAAAAAAGACTGCTAGCAAAAACAAGTTATCTTTTTTGTAGCATAAATAAGTCTAGGAGTGATGTAAATATTTGTATTGCTTATTTCCTATAATAATTATATTCTTTGACATGTAGGATGATGCTGTACAGCGCCCACAGTTTGGCCATGTTGGAGATATGAATGCCGACATAGATAATTTATACTATCCTGAGAGTTTAGTAGATCAACAACAAAATGCAGTTGACTGCTTTTTTAGGAATAGCCAGTACAGTGTTTGCCCCAACATGAAAAAAGGAATATTTCTAGACCCAAGAGAATTACAAGAGCTGTAACACTAATCAGCCTTGTTAGCTTGCTTGTTTTGTGCTCTGCAGCTCCTAGCCTGTTTATCTCACAGTACAGAGACATGCCCTTCATTTTAGATTTCATGTAAAGCCATAATTATTAATTACAATTTTATTTATTTAGATTAAACAAAGCTACAAAATATGATAGGCAAATAGTAAATAATAATAAAATATTTGTTCCTGTGAAGTAAATCATGTATTTTCATTTCAACTAAATTATGTCTGTTTTTTATTGGTTAAATGGAATTATATCCCTATTCATCTTTAAATTCTATATCTGTTGGCTACTTAAAAAAAGAGATCTTTTGCTTTAATTGTTGGCAAATTTGAATGAGAAAAGATT